GATAACCCACGGTGCAACCTAGACGTTCAGTAGTGTGTCAAAGATAACCCACGGTGCAACCTAGACGTTCATAATGTGTCAAGGATAACCCACGGTGCAACCTAGACGTTCATATTGTGTCAAGGATAACCCACGGTGCAACCTAGACGTTCATAATGTGTCAAGGATAACCCACGGTGCAACCTAGACGTTCAGTAGCGTGTCAAAGATAACCCACGGTGGAACCTTGACTTTCATAGTGTGCCAAGGATAACCCACAGTGCAACCTAGACGTTCAGTAGAGTGTCAAAGATAACCCACAGTGCAACCAACACTTTCATAGTGTGTCAAGGATAACCCACGGTGCAACCTAGACGTTCAGTAGTGTGTCAAGGATAACCCACAGTGCAACCTAGACGTTCATAATGTGTCAAAGATAACCCACGGTGCAACCTAGACGTTCATAATGTGTCAAAGATAACCCACGATGCAACCTAGACGTTCATAATGTGTCAAGGATAACCCACGGTGCAACGTAGACTTTCACAGTGTGTCAAGGATAACTTAAGTTGCAACCTAGACGTTCAGAATGTGTCAAGGATAACCTACGGTGCAACCAACACTTTCATAGTGTGTCAAGGATAACCCACGGTGCAACCAACATTTTAACAATGTGTCAAGGATAACCCACTGTGCAACCTATACTTTAATAGTGTGTCAAGGATAATACGTATTTAATGACCACATCACCGCAGAGAAAAAAATAAATTTGAAAGCAATAGTTTTCTTTCAAAAGAGCGATCCTGTAGGCAACTTCAAATATTGAAGTATACTGAGTACGATTGGAACTACCGTGTTGTGGATCCTAGACTAGTCCTAGACATGTTCGACAGAAAACCAGACAAACAACGACATTAATGTCGTTCCTGACGACTCCTTTACGTCCCTTGATAGAAGCCACCCACATCCTCCCCATAGCCCATCCAAACAACAACCACCCTCCACTGCTTGACTCTAAGTTAGCCTTCCACGCTTGGAATCTCGACCGATCTTGTGTACGCGAAACAGGACCATACACGAATGAATAAGAATCACTAGATTTGTTTTTTCTTTCAATTATCAATATTTGACGAAGGGATCGATTATGGCGCACTGTGTTCTACGCAGAAAATACAAAGAATATTTCGTTAACGATATGGAATAAGCACTGAGCGGCTTCTGTTCCCACGTCCCCGGTCCATGCATATATTGTTGTAATCCTCATACGTTGACGCAGACGACGCTAATCAGAGCAAAACGGGAGAAGACAAACGGGCAACACTTTTACATATGATTACTTCCTGGTCCGCGACTCCAGTGGGCATTTTTTATGATCAACTTAACATGTGTGTGTCTCGTAATCTCGCCCTTGGCTGGGAGAACTTGGAAGGGAATCCCCTTTGATTCTGTTCACATATGCAGAGAAAAGTAGAGTGTGCAGCAAGTTGATTTGTACTTATAGTCTCCCAACACTACGTCCTCTAAGTATGGCTTACTTCAGTGAACATTTTCGCAAACAAACGAGCGCATAACCTATGTTTCACACCAGGATATAACATTGTATTAATGGGACACTCCCTGGTGCTTGTAAGAGAACCGTACGCATTTCCATACATGTCCAATAAATATTATGTGATGGAGAAACCATAAATGGTTTGTCCAACTTATAAAACGCTATCCATTAATCTATGTCATTTTTGGAGCTTATATTTACGCGGTATACGGGTCGCAAATAAGTGCGGTATAACGAGACACGCTTTATAACAGTTGTTATCGCGGGCCGCTGCGCGGACTGCACGTGCAGAAGAAGGCTGTAGGGGGGCGAAAACTGGTTTTTAATGATTTTAAGACCATTTTAATGGCCTTAGAGAGCATGTATTTTGAAAAATTATATATTTATCTACATTTTACATGAATGCGTGAGAATTTCCCAACCCTGCGTGTGGGCGTGACATAGGTGATAAATGCGAGATGCGTGAGAGTTGACAGGTCTGTAGAACTGTTGCTGAATGCAATAAACAGGACGTTGTTATACATATACTAGTAGTCTATAGTTGAATGGTTTTTTTGTAACATTCACTGATGTCTGCTATCGATCGCGACACATACAGCTGTTGGTAAGAATACACGTGACACAATGACATAATCAGCCTGTGATCACGTTTCTGAACGACAACCGTTGACTGCCTCACTGCGGTTGAAAATATTGTCGTCTGCGCAGTGAGGTGCGACTTTTGACCTTTGAACTTCTACATTACTACTCTCAGCCAATGGACGCTGAGCATACGCACTGAAACAGACTCGTGGAGTTGAAATATTGATATCACGAAGTGGGCGATTCAGAGTGTTTGTTTTGAGAGGTGAGTCGAATGTTAATTCAGCGCCACTTGGCTAAACGCGTCTGAACGAGGCAACTCGCACATTCACTATGTATCAGGATTAACTCTCACCTAATCAGGCTTGTGTTTGGCGTGATCCTACATCGTAGACATTTGTTTTGGGAGTGACTTGCACATGTTGAATTGATGTCAGAGACAGTTTTGGAAGACACAAATAATGCTGTTTTCTCTGTCACTACGTTTGGTTTTCCTCATCGCGATTGTCTTGATCAGTGTGTCTGTCGGAACCAGTGTCACCGTGGAGGACGTCCTTCAGTGTTCTGCAGATGGCATGAAATGTTGCGGTAACATGAGAGAGGACAGACTGCCGAACCTCATCTTGAATTACGACTGCAGTCAGCCTGACAACGTCACCCTTCTCCTACCACCCGGCACCAACAAAACATCCCCATTCCGACTCTTCTTCTCAAGCTCGTGCATCACACGTCTCCCTGAGGATATATGTGATTATCCCAACATTGCAAGTATACGTGCGGTGACCGGTAAAATCGAAACAATTCCCAGCCTTAGCTGTCTGAAGAATTTGATAGCTCTGGTACTTTTCAACCAGGAAGTTAAATCTGTTGAGACGGGTGTGTTCTTTGGTTTGGAAAGGTTGAGATACATCAATCTTGCTCGTAATAAAATACATACTATTGAGCCAGGAGTGTTCAGTGAAGACTTACATGGATTGATGAGGGTTCATCTTGACTACAACGAGCTGACAGCGTCTGAGGCCTGGCCGATGAGGATTACCCATGACTTCTGTCATTTCGGCCTAAGTTACAATAAGATATCCCATTTCTCAAACGAAGAAAACTGGTTAGTGGATAAAAAAAAAAGCTATGGACCCGGTATGGTGAACTTTTCTCACAATTTGTATACGAAATGGGTGTCAGAGGAATTGAAGATCTATGGAATTCATGATCTGAAAATTATTGGTATATTTAGGAGATGGGGATTTGACTTCAGACATAATAAGTGGATCTGTGATTGCAATTTTCATGAATTTCTCCACCTGGCATCGAATTTAACTACATTAATATGGAGGTACTTCTACAATGTTCTCTGCGACAGTCCAGCTCATCTGAAAGGAAAGCAAATTCTAAATCTGCCACTGGATGCGTTTGTGTGTAACGTCACGGACAAATGTCCTCAAGATTGTTTATGTCAGGATCAGCCGGAGAAAAAACAGATGTTGGTTGACTGCCGTGGTAGAAACTTGACACGTTTACCGTCCACGGTTCCCGAAGGTAATTTAAAACTGCTTTTTGGCGATAATTCCATTACCTTCTTGGAAGCAGTAGGTTATTTGAAAAGAACAAAATATCTTGACGTATCTAGAAATAATATTAAAATTATTGAACCTTCAGCAATTGACCTTTTGCAAAATGGGGTTGCATTTCTGGGCCTATCGGACAATCTTCTTGAGTTTTTACCGACAAAAATCCAGAACATCCATTATTCTAAACTAGAAATCAACAGAAACCCATTTGTGTGCAGCTGTTCCTCCACGTGGATGTCACTGTGGCTCAGATACCAACCTCGGAACTACAACGTCACCGACATCACTTGCTTGATGCCAGCGGGCAATACCGTACAGCTTGTACGAGCAGACAAAAAGTTACTTAGCTGTCAGATTCGCAGTCCTTTTCCTAAGATATTCAGCGCCCTGTTGGGAACATTTGCAGCCATATTTGTGCTTTTGGTGGCCCTTGTTGTGGTGTTTCGGTATGAAGTGATGCACCTTCTTCATACGGGTGCAAAAAAGCTGAAGCGAACTAGCGATGACGACTCGGAGTACGATTTGTTTGTGTCGGTGGATGGAGAGAGTGAGTCTGACCGAGTCTGGTCCAAGAAACTACTTGAAGAACTGGAGCAGAATCACAACCTCAGACTGTACTTCCCGCTCCGGGACATGGACCCGGGGACAGTAATTACTGATGAAGTCATCAAGACGCTCCAGAGAAGCCGCGCAGCTGTCATTGTGCTGTCTGGTAGCTATGTGGACAATCCCTCCAAGATGTTCGAGTTCACGGAGGCCTACAATATCATGGTCAAACAGCGTCGTGGCCGTGTGATCGTCGCCAGGCTCGACAACGTCACCACTGCCAGTAATGGCTACCTGAACGCTTTTCTAAAACTTAAGAAGTATATAGATGCTGACAACTGCGACTTGTTCGAAAAGATCGCGCATGAAGTTCAGGAGGAGAAATCTCAAAATTCTCCTACTCTATCTGTGAGCCAAGTTGAAATAATGGCTTAAAAGTAGTGCCTTTCTTGTGATACAAACTTGAGTTTCATCAAAACAGCAATGTCGGTTATTGTGGTTCCTACTGATGTAGATAATGGTTCAGTTCCACTCAACCAATAAACTACATCATGTTTTTACGAACTGTGTGCCATTTGTGTTTCGTCAAATACATACTTTACGTAAAATATACATTCTTAAATCCATTCAGTGAATCAGCGAAGATTCCAGAGCAGAATAAGCCCAAATATCCATGTTCTTCGCAAGAGACTATTAAGATATTGACCTGTGACTTCTGACTGGTTTCTTGGCTGCCGTCGAACCGACGCCTTTGTCGGCTTCAATACGTACAGGTCATTGGGATGAAGATTCAATATTATTGGCCTAAAGCTTCAGTACTTACAGGTCATCGTGATGAAGATTCAATATTATTGGCCTAAAGCTTCAGTACTTACAGGTCATCGTGATGAAGATTCAATATTATTGGCCTAAGGCTTCAGTACTTACAGGTCATTGGGATGAAGATTCAATATTATTGGCCTAAAGCTTCAATACTTACAGGCCATTGTGATGAAGATTCAATATTATTGGCCTAAAGCTTCAGTACTTACAGGTCATCGTGATGAAGATTCAATATTATTGGCCTAAAGCTTCAATACTTACAGGTCATCGTGATGAAGATTCAATATTATTGGCCTAAAGCTTCAGTGCTTACAGGTCATTGGGATGAAGATTCAATATCATTGGCCTAAAGCTTCAGTACTTACAGGTCAATGGGGTGAAGATTCAATATTACTGGCCTAAAGCCTGAGTACTTACAGGTGATCGTGATGAAGATTCAATATTATTGGCCTAAAGCCTCAGTACTTACAGGTGATCGTGATGAAGATTCAATATTATTGGCCTAAAGCTTCAATACTTACAGGTCATTGGGATGAAGCTTCAATATTATTGACTATAGGCTTCAATAACTGTTTTAATTGTTTTACATGTCAATGTAAGGACACTGCTTAGGGTTAGGCGGCTATTAACTATACCGTGCACCACCAACAGCCATTTCCTTACTCTTAAGAGCACCACTCAACAGTCATTTCCTTACTCTTAAGAGCACCAACAGCCATTTCCTTACTCTTAAGAGCACCAAAAGCCATTTCCTTTCTCTTAAGAGCACCACCAACAGCCATTTCCTTACTCTTAAGAGCACCACCAACAACAATTTCCTTACTCTTAAGAGCACCAACAGCCATTTCCCTACTCTTATGAGCACCACCAACATCCGTTTCCTTACTCTTAAGAGCACCACCAACAGTCATTCCCTTACTCTTAAGAGTACCAACAGCCATTTCCTTACTCTTAAGAGCACCAACAGCCATTTCCTTACTCTTAAGAACACCAACAGCCATTTCCTTTCTCTTAGAGCACCACCAACAGCCATTTCCTTACTCTTAAGAGCACCACCAACAGTCATTTCCTTACTCTTAAGAGTACCAACAGCCTTTTCCTTACTCTTAAGAGCACCAGCAGCCATTTCCCTACTCTTATGAGCACCAACAGCCATTTACTTACTCTTAAGAGCACCACCAACAGTCATTTCCTTACTCTTAAGAGCACCACCAACAGCCATTTCCTTACTCTTAAGAGCATCACAAACAGCCATTTCCGTTTTCTTAAGAGCACCACCAACAGCCATTTCCTTACTCTTAAGAGCACCACCAACACCTATCTTCTTATTCTTGAGAACATCACCAACACCCATCTTCTTACTCTTAGGAAACATCACAAACACCCATCTTCTTACTAAGTTAACAATACCTGTCTTCTTACTCTAAGCACCATCAGTACCATCTCCTGTAGCCTTGTGTTGCCCCCTGTCCTAGCCTGTCTATTTCTCTACAGTATTACACCCCTTCTTGCTCACAGCAGTGGTAGCGTATGCTAGTGTTTGTGTCCAGCCTTGATCTTGCTGGAACAGTTGTGTTTCTCTCCATCATTGTTTTAGTCTGCTAGGATCTTGCTGGGACAGTCCTCTGTATCTGTGTTATCTCCACCTTGGACAGGATAATACAAACTAGGGCTATGTATGCTTTATTTTACCCTTATACTAATGAATGACAAAATCAGACACTGATATGAGGAACATGTGTTGCCTTACTTACTGAAACCGCTGTACAGGACAAGTTGCAAGGAGTCTCCCACTGCTCATCCTTGGGACTTTCAACTGTGTTGTGTATATGCACGCCTTGAAGTAGACCAATGATCCTAGAGCTACACCAGCGTCTGTCAGGCTCTTAGATATAAGATTAAGCGTCACAACAGGCATTTTGAAAGAACAAGTGAATATTTTGATGTAATCAGTTGTTCTTCAGTTGGCCAGAACTTTATATCAGGATCCTGTTCGTCAAGGTGATCGTAGCACTAGAAGTGTCATAAGTGATATTCTCAAAGATTTCGGGGCCAATCATTGTACAATCTGGTGAGGGAGAATTGAAAATCCTGGAAATGTCCTTAGATTTTACATACAAAAATCATTTACTGTAATGCTGGATGGTCTGAAATAAATGTGTTCTCTGAATTCCTTCGAACCCATCGTACCACTATGATGATTGTAACTCCCCTATTTATACAAAGGCTTCTATACTAGTTGCACTAAGATAGCTCTGTGGAATTGGGACCCATCCTTAATGACAGTTTTAGAGCTACAGTTGCCGTGTGTAACAAGCCCCGGAGAGTTCTCTACAGTCCATTCTGGACAGGACAAACTCTGATGTGGGTAATAACAGTTGCACTTTGAACAAAACCTCACGGGTGAATAATAGCTATAACGCCCTGAGTTTTCAGTCGAATGGTTATTTCTTGAGTTGACTGTATATAATGGATTTCATTTTCTGAAAGTTCTGCCTGCCTCCCATGTTCTGACATGATCTTGTGTTTGTGTATTGGTGGTGGCTTGTTGACCTAATGAAAGTCTATTAATCCTTTGTTGTTGATATTGTCATTCAGACAGTTTGTTTCCTGTTGTTACCAACTGTGTTATAATTAATGTCCATCGTTGAAACTGATTTGATTAACCTTTTAATGGTCATTTACCCGAAGAAAGCAATATTACTGAGCAGAACTTCAAATTGTCCAGTGTAGCATCACATCTGTTTCATGTTGGAACAGACACCTGCCTGTGTTGCATTATATGCATAGATTCATGTTTTGTCTCTTCATACATTTAGAATTATATTTTAAATGCCAAAAATGCCAGAAGCCCGGCATGGCTTGACCAGACAGTGCATGAGCAGGTTAAGTGTGACGATGTCTCCCTAGAACTACCCAATTATTTGGATGGAACACACAACTTAAGTTCTCAAAATGATGAAATGTTCCAATCAAAAGTCATTACAATAAAGATTTGTGCTGTTACAGAGGCATTCAGGAGGTTGGATACAGACAATAGCTGTTTATTATTACTAAACATTGCACAGGTTAAATATACACTTCATGGTTGTCCTGTTTCTGGTTCCTTTAGTTCATTGTGAAAATCAAGTTTTAGGGTTCGGAAGTACTGCGAATATTGTGTGTAAATCCCTCAAAGAGCGTTCTGCCTTCGTGGTCAAACCTCACAGACTGGGTCAGCTTGACCTTGCCAGGTCATGTTGACCTATAGTTGGATGTTCTTCAACTACCAGTATGTTTGATGGCCTGAGATTGGTAGGTTAAAGTGACCTCTCCTTCTGAAGGTGTTGGGGGAACCTATCTGTAAATACTACTACCAATAAAGTATTTTTCTAAACAGATTATCTTGTGTTTTTATGTACATGGTGTTTTAATGTGTTCGAGGTTCAGTGACCAACGGGTTACAGGAGAAATGTATGTATGCAGACCTTTACAGGGATGAGAATCTTCTACAAATATCCGTGAATTTTCGTGACCACAAATTTGTTAAAATCTGATGGCTTCCCCCATAAACACCCCCAGATTATGGACCACGCTCCATTGCAACGATGTTTCAGCTGAAAGGAAAATATCCATTCTCATCCTGGTGTATATATGGGACAATAAAATCAGAGGAAGAGTGACGACTCTGCGACTTAGGGTTAGGAAGTACTGCGAATATTGTGTGTAAGTCACTCAAAGAGTGTTCTGACTTCGTGGTCAAACCTCACTGACAGGGTCAGCTTGACCTTACCAGGTCATGTTGACCTATGGTTGGATGTTCTTGAACTACCAGATTATCTTTTGTTTTTATGTATAGGTGTTTTAATGTGTTTGAGGTTACCAAATGGTAACAGGAGAAACGTATGTATATATGGGTCAATAAAATCAGCGATGAGTGACGGTATTTAAATGATCCACGGGTGAGAGAAGTGTGTATTTCATATACTCCTAAAAAACACAACAAACAGGTTATGGTGATGTACATATTACATATGTGAAATGAATAAGCACATAAACCATTTGTGAAGCATGAATGTGTCTTTATGTAGCAAATTGTCAATGTTGGAATAAAGAGGCAGACAAGGGTGGAATTCTGAAGACATTTCTATTCGTTAATTTGGTATCAGTGGATAAGTTTTAACTGGATTGAGTTGTCTCTTTGATGCATATCTGAGATCTCGTGTTATCATCATCTTCAACATCAGCATGATTCCCACATGGGTACTATGTGTATAGCCCATTGCTGGGTCTCACCCTCACCATCACTGCCACCACCCCAACCCCCGACACACACACACACACACACACACACACACACACACACACACACACACACACACACCCAACACACCACCCCACCCCCCGCCCCAGCTCCACGTAATGTGTATCATGTAATGGTGAGGTGTCGCCTCAATAGGTTGTTGTGACAATTCAAGTGATATACAGCATATGAATGACCAGATTAATAACTAATACCTATTAATGAGGATTTAACAAATGACAGAATATCTTCCGATTTCAGAAAGTAGTCTAATATGCTCTGTTTCAACGGGTCTAACTTTCTCCATGTATATTGAGATTTATCAGGGTGTTATATCCTCCATGGGTCGAATAACTCTAAGTTTTCTCCCATATCTAGTATTTGCTAATTGGTTATTTCTGTGTTTATAGTTGTATGTATCTTTGTTATAATCTTGAACTACGTTCCAATCACCAGCTGATATCAAAATATCCGGTAATTGCATTAAATGTGTTTCTAAAGTCTTGAAGAAATCTGGAGTATCAGTATTTGGTAAAATATTTGTAATTGAGAAACGGATTTTTTCACTAGTAATATCTAATATAATATATCATCCGTTGTCATCACAAATTACCTCATGGATGTGATATTTAAAAACATTTTTATAAATTAATCACGCCGGCGCTTTCATTCGTCCCAGCGATAACCCCATTCGGCTGCCCATACCCGTTCATTTTGTTTTGTCCTGTGTGTTTCTTGAAGAAATATAATCGATGACATTTTGGATCGAAGGAAATTAAATATATCAGTTTTCAGTTTGGAGATCCCGAGCATTCAATGACAAAATTGTAAAATCAGACACTGATGTT